ATTACCTTCAGGATCAAATAGAAAGTGCTTTATTTAGCATTTAAAGCCCTTTACAAATTTACAATTTAAAGCCTTGGCTCCTTCTTTCCTTTCCACTCTTTATGTAAAGGGTATACTGGCTAACTTGCTGTTGCTCACACATGACATTCCATCTTTTTGACTCTGTGCCTTTGTACAGGCTGTCTCTGATAGCTGAAATTCTGTCCCTCTTCAATGCCATCTCTTAGTTTCCCTGGCTTCCTTTAATTTTTAGCTCAAATACCACCCTTTGTCAGAGGCCTTTCATGTTCCCCAGTGCTGCTAGTGCTTTCTACTCTAAGGCCACCTTCTATCTACTGACCGTATCTTGTAGATACTGATTTATATGTGGCATTTCTTCCCTCTATCCCTTATAATTTGTCTCTCATCACCTCACTCCTCCCCATCTTAGCTCCACCTAGCCCCACCCTGACCTCATGACTTCATGCTGAGCTCTTTGAAAAAATGGAACATTTTTGCTTTTTCTTTGTGTCCACAGTGCCTGGCACATAGTAAGTATCCAATCTGATTAACTGACGCTCTGAGTGGACAGAACCAATATCCCCTTTGAGTATTAAGGCTCTAGTAGTTGAGTCCTATTTCCTATTCCACCCCCAAACTAAATCCCCAAAGGGCCACAGGCCAGTGACAGCTTTAATTTGTTTTATTATAATTACAATGGCATATCTATTTTGTACCCCACTGCCAAACCTACAGGTGACTCTATTCTGTCAACCTCTTACTTAGTTATTATAGTCAATATCAAAGAGCAGGCATTCCATTATGAATAACACAGGAGTCAAGAAAGTTTACAGGTTCTTTCATGATAGTTTTGAAAAGGGCACTCATCAAATCTGACACAAAACTATTACTGTTACAAACTGCCAATTGTTACAACTGTAAATCTAAGAGCTTTATTAAGGAAGTTGTGAACTTGGTACTGCCCACCTGAAATTATTATGTAGTTCAACTCTTGCTTTGTCAACTTTTGCTTCTAATACAGTGGTTAGAAGGTATTAAAACTATCCAAATGAATTATAGACTTGAAACAAATGTTAATAAAACAACTAAGTTTCAGTTCAGAGGTCTTCAACCTAGCACAGAGGCAACTGGCATATAAGAATAAAGGGATACTGATCTGGAAAAGGTGAATGAACACAACTACAGTCTCAACTTTCAAACTCTCACAGTCTCAGATAATGACTTGGATAGTCTCATTTTCCTTATTTCAGACAGTTGTGAAAATAACTGAGAAAAAATGTGAAATTCATTAGAAATAACATTCAATTTCTTAGAAGAAAGTATTTTTATAAATTTAAGGTATTATTCTGTGAACAAGAAATTAAAACAAGAAAACCACTCTTTCAGGAAGGAATTAGTAAAACAAAATCAGTCAAGAAGCATTTATTAAACATCTGCCATGTTCCAGGCATTGTGCCAGGTGCTAGGGCTATGAATACAAAAGTGGAACAGTCTTTGCCATCAAGGATCTTATATTCTACTGACGGGATATTCACAGAGAAGTAAACACAGGATACATAAAAAATAAATTCACAATGATGAGTGGAGAGATGAAAAACTGTGACAATCAGAAAAGACTTCTTTCTTGAAGGGAGTTAGCACTTGAGATGAGTCCTGAAAGGAGGTAGGGGTTCCAAAAGGCAGATGTGAGTGAGCATTCCAAATGCAAGGGACAACCTGGGCTCTCCTATGGGCTTTCCATAAGTGAGGGATGGAATGTTGTGTACCAGGAATAGCAAACAGGTTAGTTTGGCTAGAGTATAAAATGTGTGAGGGGGACCAAAGTGTATTCAGAATGGAAAAATGGGGGGAGCCTAATGGTGAATGTCTTCAAATGAGGAGCTTCTATTTTATACTTAAGGCAATGGGCTCGACTAAAGCTTGCTGAGCAGAAGAATGGCATGGTCATATCTGTGCTTTAGGGATATCACTTTGGTAGCTGTGTGAAGGGTGGACTGGAGATAGGCTGGATGCAGGGAGACCAATTTAGAGGCTACTACAATAGTTCAGATGAAGGACCTGAACTAGAGTGGTTGGGATGTGAGGAACGAGACCAAAGACTTAAGAGATGTTGCGGAGATAGAACTGCCATTGATAGGATATGGGCCAATGGCAGAATAAAGAGTTGAGGATGACTTTTACATTATGAACCTGGATTACTGGAAGAATGGTGCTGCCCTACACAGAGACGGAGAAATTAGGAGAGGTAGGTTTAGGGAGAAAGATAATGAGTTCTATTTTGAACATGTGGGATTTGAGATACATATGGGACATCAGGGAAGTGAGGAAGTAGAGGCAACAAGTGTGGAAGCTGTCTTTTGAAGTTAGACTAGGTAACAGAAGGAAGAACATGGGTTAATAGTCTAAGGAGATGGTAGGGTCAACTTAAAAGTTTTTAAAGATGGGGAGGATTTGGATATATTTGTAGGCACCAAGGAAGATGCTAGTGGACAAAGGTTGAAAATTAGGGAGAATGCGAAGGTGACAGAAGGAGCAAGCTTCTGGAAAGAGATAGGAGGGAATGAGATCTATGGACACATGGTACAAGTAAAAGGATTAGAGCTGGCAAGAAGGATCACTTCATTATCTGAGACAGAAGGAGAGGATGGGGGATGATGCTGAGGTGATCTGATCTGGAATTGGGGAAGAAAGAAAACTAGACCCAATGTTCTCACTAGTCATCAGCAGAAGCCCTCTATGCTAGTCAGAACGATATCCTTACTGTCCCCTATATACATGTAACAATAAGTTGTTGTTGTTCATAACGATTTTGCACAAAATAATCTTCATTTTTACCACTGGAATGCCCTTCTACTTCTTTAACAAGTTAATTCTACACTTTTTCCTAAGATCTAGCACAAAAAAAAACCTCATGTTCTCCAGAAAGCCTCCCTTGATTAACCTTAAGTCTTTTTCCTTTTCCTTGAGTTCCCTTTAAGTATACATTTATTTATTTATTTATTTATTTATTTATTTATTTGGTCAGGATTGCATGATTTAATGAAAGACGGAGCATATAGTGTAAAGAGGGCTGGAGTCAAGAGACTTGGGTTTAAATTTTGCTTCAGACACTTATCTGCTATTTGACCATAGACAAGTCTTTTAATCTCTAAAAATTTTAGTTTCTTTATCTGCTAAAAATTGAGCCAATGCTTGAAGTTTCTACCTCATAGGGTTATTTATTTATTTATTTATTTGGCTAGGCAATGGGGTTAAGTGACTTGCCCAGGGTCATACAAGTAGTAAGTGTCACCTGTCTGAGGCTGGATTTGAACTCAGGTCCTCCTGACTCCAGGGCTGCTGCTCTATCCACTTCACCACCTAACTGCCCCTACCTCACAGGGTTATTGAAAGAAAAGCACTTTTCAAACTTTCCAGTCCTATAAAAATGGGGTCTAGCATGCAACTTGTTGAAAACTGTTCCTTTCAGGCTTTTTGTCTTCCTGACTGTAAGCTCCTTGAGAGTAAAAACAATATCTTTACCTTCACTTCTCTTCTATAATTTGTAATACACTGCTAGACATACAAGATACTTGTTGAATTGTACTGTTCTATAACTTACATCCAATCAGTTTATTTATATCTCCCCCAAGGACAACCTACAACATGTTTAGTGGTATGCCTTTACCAATTTAAAATTTAACATTGTTTTTTATTTAATAAGCTAACTTAGAAACTAGTCAGTAATATTCTTGAGGTTACGTCTAATGCCCCCATGTAACATTTAAGATGGCTGCTACAGGCAATGGGTGTAAAATGTTAAATAATTTAAACTTTTATTTTTAAGGGAGAGTTCTTGAACTTTCAAACCTTGAAGGGTAAGTGTAAGCTCTCAAATACTTAAGGGGATCTGCAATTTCATATATTTGGGTGCAAACTGCAACCCATCCATGTGTGCCCATCCCTTGTTACTCTTTTCCAAGTCCATTCATGAGTTTTTACAAGGAATTTGTTCAATGTGCTACTAGCCTTCCTTGATTTCACCTATTAGGAGGATTTTTTAAATAGGAGGGAAGAGGAAACCCCCTTGCTAAAGAAGCACTAAATTAAGAATATGAACCAAAGGATCTCCATTTCTAAAATTTAATAACCATGATTATAAATGCTTGAATAAAGACTTAGAATTGGTTGCCCTGAAGGTTAAAACCATACATCTATATAGTAAACCGCTAAGTGAAAAGTGATGCCTTCATAAATGTTACTTTTTGGACGGTAAGTGGAAATCAATCTGTATCTATGGATTATTTGAGTTTTGCTTTTACTGAAAAGCAAAGAACAGCATCCCATTTCTGGTCCATTGTGTTTTACCCATCTGCCCATCACTGAAGCGCAGAAAACTTTATAACTAAAGTTACTGAGACCGTTGAAACAATTTTTAAAAACAATTTTCAAAATCCTTCCTCAAAAGCAAAAGGAGCAGCTCCCTCTGGAGTAAACAAAGCCAGCTTCTGGGCCTGCCTTCCAGGAGCCAGTCCCAAACAATAGGAAGTGGCAGGCAATAGTGGTAGGTCTAGGGTTGGCTCAGTAGGGGTGGGAGTGAGCCAGTAACTGTTAAACGAACTGCGAGAAGACAAGACAGGTGGAGTCAGAGCCCTTGGTGGGCCAAAGCTGAGACTTGGGGGCAGGTTTCCCGGAGGAGGGCGGGTGGGATGGGGGAAAACTCAGGCATCCTAGGGGCGGGGGAAGAGAGGGTGGAAACAGCTGTCGAGCAATTCTAGAGGGCAAACACAACCGGTTCTTTTTCTCAGAACCAGGCCAGTGCTTCTGGCTCAAGTCGCCCGGTAAATACTCAACAGCAGCTGTTGATCCAGTGAGTGGAGGTGAAGAGGAGGGATAGGGTGGCAGGGACCGGGGTCCCCCAAGGGTGAGTGACGGGACCACAAATCGATCCCAAGCTAGCGAGGAAAGGACGGAGGGAGGAGAGGAGGAGGAGGAGGAGGAGGCGGGGAGCCCGGGCTTACCTTGAGCAGGCAGCTGTTGGCCGGGGCGGGCACCGAGGTGCGGTGGATGACCAGGTCCTGGCCCGGGCTGTGCACGTCGCAGATGAGCTCCAGCACCGCGATGCTGCGGGCAGTGGAGACCGACACCCGGTGGTCCTCCGACCAGGACAGCGGCTCCAGGCCGCTGACGGGGTGCTGCAGCTTCACGGCCGGCTCCCGCCGCGCCGCCACGAGCCCGAAGCCGGCGCTGGGCCCCGCCGCCCCGGCTGCCCCGGGAGCCGCAGCCACAGCCGGCTCCTTCTCCCTCTTCTTCCCTTCTCCTTCCTCTTCCTCCTCTTCCTCCTCCTCCTCCTCCTGCGGCTCAGCCTCATCCGCCACGGACATCACCCGGGGCTGGTCGGACCCCGACATCTTCCCAGGAGCGGTAAGGCCCGAGCCGGGGACGCGCTAACTCCCGCCGTCGTCGCCGCTACCACCGCCGCCGCCGCAGCCGCCCCCTCTCCCCCCTCCTCTTCCCGGCTCCCCGCGGCCCGGAGCGCCGCCGAGCCAGGGAGGACCCCGCCGTTGCCTAGCAACCAAACCCGGGCCTAGGTGACTAACGCACTGCCTGCCTAGAATGTATGTTCTTTCTTTCGAACTACCGCAGGCCAAGCACATCTTCTCGGGGATGGTTTGTGTTGGGGGTTGAAGGGGGAGGGGAAGGGGAATAAGAGGGGGTCAAGGCTCCGGGCGCATCCCTACAAAGATCAGATGGAATGGCAAGTGGCCCAGAGGCGGAAAATTTGGATAAATAGTAGTCGTCCCTCCCTCCTCTCTCACCTGGGGATTACTCCTTCAGCCAAGGGTGAAAGCTGCGAGTGACCCGAGTGTCTTGCTTTCTAAAAGTGCAGATCATTCTCTGGGGAGGGATTGCCACTGATCCTTTGCACCTCTGATCCTTTAGAGGAAACTAGTCATGATCCTTCAGGTGCTGCATCAGGGAAATGGATCTGAAGAGAGCTAATTCCCTGGCCTTTCTCCTGTCCCTGGGTCGTAGGAATGCAGGGTATTTTACAGACATCACCTCGTATATGGAGTCATTTTTATTTCCTCTCCTCTTCTTTGGTGGGGAGGACTCTCTGTGTGTGTGTTTTCGTAAACCATCCCCTTTCAATCCTAGGCAAGAAGGAAGGATGAGAAACTCCTGCCAAACCACAAATAAACAAATCCATCAGAAACGGCAGAAAGAAAGCTTTAAGCATTCCTAAACTCCCCCCCCCCCACAACAAATGGAGAGGGCTAATAGCATACTGCTCGTAATATTAAGCAAGGCTAGGTTCCTACCCTGAACTAAAATACACAACATGCTTGCTCTTCAATATGTTATTCTCTCTGATGTGTGTTTTTCACAGGCATACAGATGCTTCGAGACACTCAGGCGCATTTAGATTTACTTGTTTGTTTGTTTAGTTTTATTTCTTAAGGAAAGTCTCTGGAGCAAAAGAAGGAAGGAGAGGAGATTGACAGCCAAGGTATCTCAGTGACTTAATGACTAAGGGGAGTGTTGGAGGCAGCTATGCCGGGGTCCTTCTTCGTCATTGAGGACTGCACTCACTCACTGACATGTGGACTGGAGTAGTACTGAAAACTGACTACTATCAAGTTATGTTCTGGAGCAGCTGAGCTGGACTTTCTTTGAGGTTTAGATCTGCAGGCCCTTCTTCCCCATAGCCTGCCCACTCTGCCTTGGACAAGCTATGGCAGCAGATGAAGGTTTACTTCTCAATATTTCAGAGGACTGGACCTTCCCGGGCTTTCACTACTCGGAGCACAAGAAATTTCCCAGATCCTTTGGAGCCGAGGAGAGAAGGGTAAGGCTCTGTTCTGCATCGTTGAGGTTGTGTTTGTTTGTGATACCAAGAGATATTCATTCTGTTTGTATTGATTTGGTGATTAGGATTAATCTGAAATATGCTTGACTCTTACGTCCCCCCCCCCCCTTCCCCCAGGCCACCCCTTCCTCCCTTGGTTTGTTTGTTTTTCGAAATCAGGGTAGTACAGTGGAAAGAACACTGGTTCTGGAGTTAAAGGGACGGATTTGCCCCTAATGCTTACAGCCTTGGTGACCTTAGACACCTTAGGCCAATCAATTAACTTGCCTGAGCCTCAGTTTCCTCATCTGTAAAATGAGGTGTTTGGATTACATAGTCTCAGAGGTCCCTTCAAGCTATTTAATATGATTTATTATGATCATAGAAGTCACCTTAGTTCAGTTATCCAAAAAAATCAGATCTCAGACAGGGTCTCAGCTGCCTATTTATAAAACCAAACGTAAGTTTAAAAGGTTGTAAAATGATGGAATGTAGGAGTTGGAAGGGAATCTTAACCTTCTCGGAGGAACCCAAGGATCTTTGAGGGGAAAGAACTCACCCAAAGTCACAGTGTGAGTTAGCCAAAACTAAAACTCCCTGTCTTTTGCCACCCGAGGCTATTTCTCTGTCCTGACTTTTATGAACTTTAGTTATGTCAAAGCATTTGCATTGGGTTACATGCAAAATAGCTTGAGATTGATTAGTCCAGACCTTTCATTTTATAGATGGGGAATTGTAGGCCAAAAGAGGGGATGTGACTTGACTAAGGTCACACAGTCATAAGTGGGAAAAGTAAAGACTTGAACCCATTTCTGAATCAAATACAGTTCTTCCTCCTCTCCACCACTTTCCTGTAGGTAAGGTAGACAGAGCTTCAAAGCTGAAATCTTTCTATTCTGCTTCTGATCTCCAGTTTGCTTTTGTGTAATTTTGAAACCACTTCTGCCCCTATTTCTCCATTAGTGAAAAGGGAGTGATATTGTTTTATAGATTATCCACTTGTTTTATAGATTATTTACTTTTAGTGTGGCCTGCCTTCATGGATTCATTTTAAATGTGCTTCTGGGTGTGGTCAGTTAGTCAACAAATAAGTATTAGTGCCTACTTTGTGCCTGACTTTTGTTCTAAGTACTGGGATATAAATATTTGAGAAATGTATGAAGTACCAAGTACTGTTACAGGTAACAGAAGATTGTCCATTTGAAAGATCCTATAGTGGCAAATTGTTGGCAATTTAAAGAACATTTATTGTCCTTGGTGATTAAGTGAGCAAAGCATTTCTATATGCCATCTCAAGAATTCTAAACACTTTAAGGCATGTAAGAGGTACTTAACCACCCTGGCCTCAGTTTCCTCACTTAAAAAATGAAGTTGGGACTAAATTTTCAAAATCCCTTTCAGCCCTGAGAGTCTACAATTCTAATAGGTAGGTAATTGAAGGGACTGCTGAAGATATAATAAATCTTGATTTTAGCAAATTATTTGAGAGAGCATCCCATAATAAGTTGATAAAAATAAGATGATAAAATGTGTCCTGGATTATGCTGATGATTATTGCTCATATTTACATAGCATTTTACAAAATGCTTTCCTTATTCTATGCATACTATACATACTATATATGGTCAGTGCTTTCTTGATCCCTGAGTTGTTAGTTCTCTCCCTTTCCCCTATTTGGGGAATCACATATATACTTTATTATATCTTCCCTGGTAGGATGTGAACCCCTTCAAAGAAAGGACTATTTTTTGTTTTGTCTTTTATTGCCAGCACCTAGCATATTGTCTGACTCGTACTTGGTATTTATTAAATGCTTGTTGACCTATATTGGCAATAGAAGACCTGGGTTCTAATCCTAATCCACTTTGTGACATTGGGCAAGTGTCACTTCTCTTGTGTAGGTCTCAGTTTTCTCAGTCATCGAGTAAGGTGATTGGACAAGATTATCTGTAAGGTCCCTCACAGCTCTAACAATCTGTATTTCTCTGACCTCATTTGAAAACTTGTTTTGTATGGTTTTATAAGTGGGCTGCTGAGATACACACCTAACATTTATAATTGATTTAAAGTTTGCAAGGCACTTTACATATATTATCTCATTTGATTCTTAGAATAACACTGTGAGTTGGGTGCTATTATCATTCTCATTTTACAGATGAGGAAACTGAAACTGAGAGGTTAAGTGTCTTGCCCAGGGTACACAATAGTAAGTGATTGAATCAGGATTTGAAATCAAATTCAGCAAATCATACTACCTAATTGTCTCAGATGGTTACCTATATATCACACTTTAATGTTTGCAAATCACGTTATACAAATTATCTCACTTGACCTTCACAATAACTCTTGTGTGAGGAAGGTACTGATTTATTCCCATTTTACAGATGAAGAAACCAGGCAATAAGGTTACCTTATAAAACAAAAAGCCTGTTAAGTAGGTAATGCAAGTATTCATTCATTCATTCACTCAGGAAGCATTTATTAAATGTATAGATTGTGCCTGGTACTGGAAGTACAAAGACAAAAACAAAAACTGCCCCTTCCCTCAAGGAACTTAAATTCCACTGAAGGGGAGGTAGAAAATATTATGCATATAGGTAAATACATAGTATGTACAAAATAAATCAAAAGTAACATGGTAGAAGGCCCCTGATGACTAAGGGGGATGAGAGATCAGGAAAAACCTCTTCTAGACAGTAGCAATTGAGCTTTGCTAAGAATTAAACAAAGTGATCAATACTTTTGTTTTTACATCACCATCATTTTCAAGTATACACCTTTCCCCAGAGAGCCATCCCTTGTAACAAAGAATAAAAAGAAAGAGAGAGGGAGGAAAAAGTAGTGAGGCAAAACTCATTATCATCAGCTGAATCTGACAGAGTAGGAGGGTTCCACACCATCATCCTCCACTCCACAAAGAAGGGAGGAAGATGCTTGTTCTCCTCTTTTCTTTAGAGCCAAACTTGATCATTGTAATTATACAAGTGCTCTGATTGATTGATGTAGGCTGAGGCAGCTAAGTGGCTCAGTGGATAAATCAGTGGGCTTAGAGTCAGACCTGAGTTCAAATCTGGCTTCAGACACTAACTGTGTGACCCTGGACAAGTCACTTAACCTCTCTTTGCCTTAATCCACTGGAGAAGGAAATGGCAAACCACTCCAGTGTCTTTGTCAAGAAAACTGCGTGGACAGTATGGTCCATGGGGTCATGAAGAGTCAAAGACAACTAAACAAGTGTCAGGCACTGTGCTAAGCTGGGAAGGCAAAAGACAGCCCTGCTCTTAAGGAGTTTACAGTCTGATGGGGAGCCAACATGGAAACAAGCTGTATACAGGATAATTAGGAAATAATTAACAAAGGGAAGGCACTAGAATTAAGAGGGGTTGGGAAAGGTTTCCTATGAAAGATGGAATTTTAGTTGAGATTTAAAAGAACCTAGGAAAGTCATGAGGAGGAGATGAGTTGGAGAGCTTTCCAAGCATGAGGGACAACCAGAGAAAATGCCTAGATCTGAGAGATTGAGTATCTTGTTTGGGGAATAGCCAGGAGGCCAGTGTCGTGGGAGTGAAGTATAAC